TATGTTATGTAATTTGGTCAAAATAAAATATTTGTTTATTACAGAACTGAATTCGACATTTGTACTCAAAAATTTCTACAAGAAAGTGATGTTAATCAAGATGTTCAAATTTCACTAAAGACTGCAGCTACCAAACATTCAGTTGGGACAGGACAAGATTTTATACGGTGCACCTGTACCAAAAGTTGTGCTACAAATAGGTGCCAGTGTAAAAAAAAATGATTGTCTGTAATTCGAAATGCCACAACAGTACACCCTGTAAAAATAAATAAAATATTTAATCTTTTATTTATGTTACACTGAGAAGCACTTGAATAAATATTGTTCATCTAATTGATTTCCTTTTAATTTTATTTTAACCATTAATATACTTGAATAATAATTTTAAATCAGTTCGGCCTAGGACAAACTAGTTTAGCCTAAAGTATTTAGGCCAAACTAGATTGTCCTAGGCTAAACTAGTTTATCCTGACACGCGTAGGACAAACTAGTTTGGCCTAGGATAAACTAGTTTGGCCTGAAATCGGGTTTGGCCGGTAACATATATATAAATTCATTATTCTTGCAATGTCTGCAATAATGCAATCTGCTTGAACAAGTCTTTTATTCATTTTGCCACATAGTATCAATTGTAACAAATATATACTAATTGCCACATAATGAATAAATTGTAATTTAATCATATTAAATTATAATTTATATATCAAATCAGAAGTAATTATACTTACTTTGCTGAAGAGATTACCACAGAATGTTGATCTGAATGAATAATTTTTGTCAAATGAGCTACTACAGAATCTTCATAAACTGTCATTGGATCATTCTGTTAAATATTTTATTCAAAGCAATAATTAATAATTATATTTAAAATTAAATATCTTCTCACATTTCAATGTAAGAGAAAACTTTTACAAATGTAAGAATTTTAAAAAATTATTAATTTTAGCATTTTTGAAATTGATATATCAATAATATCAATTTCAAAATGTTAAAATTAATAATTTTTTAAAATTCTTACATTTGTAAAAAGTTTTCTACTTCTACAAAAAACAAAACATTAATAATGAATAAATTAAATGAAAATCCTATTCATTAAAAAAATAATAGAAAGAAAATTCTCTTCTTAGCAATTGTCTCTTAAAAACAGCATTAAAATAAGTAATGAAAAAATTAAGGTGAATATCACTGAAAACTAAAAGATAAGACTAAAAACAAAAATATCAAATCAGGAGGAATGTAAAAAAAGAAACTAAATTCAAACAGATCATATTAAAAAGAATTTCTCTGGAAGAAAAATATTTAGATATCTAAACGTTTAATCCAATATATGCATAAACAAAAAAGAATGATGACAGCCTTCATTAAGATTTAATTTGATGGAATATTCTATCAAATTAAAAAGCTTATTATTATTTTTGTATTAATTTCTTAAATAAATTATATTTAAGATAAATTACATTAGATAATTTAAATCTCAAATTAATTAACGAATACTTAAACTATAATTAAATCATAAGATTAATTAATTATAATTTTATAAAGGTATATTAATGTTTTAAAACATGCCAATTATTATTATTTAATGTCTTTATTAGATACCTAGAAAACATTAAACAAATTTTAGCACACAGGAGGAAAAGAAAAACTAAAATTATCTAATTTTCATTGATTCTGATAAGAAGAATTTGTTATTTTAGTTATTATAGTCCATTGGATTACTCAAATGGCATTGAAATGAATAAATTAATCAACTAACTAACTTTCTTTTTTATATATTAGAAATAAATTTTCTTCAGAACTTTAATTCTGTAGAAGAAAAATACCTCTAGATACATTCTAGATTCAATATTATTCATTTAATTGTTATCTTTTAAATAAAGATTTGTGTTTATGCAACTAAAATTCTTATTTTAAAAATCTAAAATCTAACTTTTTATTGTATTAACGTTATAAATATGTTTGACATTAATGTTGATTAAGTGACTACATATTAAAATACACTGAATTTTATTTTATTAAAAAAAATGAAATTTTACACACCTGATTTGCTTTTTTTGAAGTTAGCATGGTACCTTCATAGGTCATTATGCTCCATCTTAAAAACATTAGTTATAATTTTAATTAATATATTTTAATCACAAGTGTTACCAATAAAATTTATTATAACACCAATATACAATATTATATTAATATTTTATTCAAAGCATATTATTAAATATATGTAAATGGTATTTGTATTCTATTGAATACAAATATCATTTACATATGACATTCTAATGTCATCTTTTCCTTTCATTAAAATAAATAAATATTTTTGTTTGATATATTTCAAGCTGCTTGCTTAATATAACATTAAAAACAATCGAATACATATTAAACTTATTTCATTAAAACAATAAAATTTTATATAACAAAGTTATTTATAACAGGATATTTCCATAAATTATTTTATATTATTTAAAATTTGAAAGCACATCAAATCAATATGAAATCATTTTTATTAAACATAAGTTTATTAAAAATGTGAAGTACAAATAATCAGAAAAATTACTAGAAATGCTAATGACAAGCAGTATAATTATGAAAAGCAGAAAGCTTTTAGAATTAATTTCTTTATTATGTTACCTTTATTAATATGTTAATATATATATTTAGACAAAAAAATATTCAGATCAAATAATCATTTTCATCATTATCAAATAAATTATTTGATTCTTTACAATGAGTTAACATAATCTTTTAATAATACACTGTAAACAACTATACATATGTAACTCTTACAACTGTAAAAACTATTCTTGTTTCTTTTTCATTGTTCAATTCCATTTTCTTAGATTTGTAAAGCATTAGATTGTTAGATTTTAATATGAATTTTCCTATTCACATTCATCTTGATGTCAGTAAATTAGAATTATTGTTGATAAAATTATTTTTATAATGATAAAATTTCAGTAAATTAAAATTGAAACTTTATACCACTGTACATATATTAAAATGTGATATAAATAAATTACAAAAGTAATGGGGTTTAAATTACAGATTAATTTTTCAGTTAAAATAGTAACAAGAGTGAAATTTATTATCTACTATATAAAACTGAAAAAATGGCCAGTCTCTGTTGGCATATCGAGTGCCAGCAAAGTATAGCGGCAAACCTAGGAATTTCCAGTGTTCATCTCTTTTTGATGGTATTCGACATGCACGCTGCTTGCTGCATTATTTAAAAAGAATTGGATATAGTGATGTAGGTCATAGTGAATGACAATGATAGTTATGCTTTTTAATAGATTTATGTTCCTCTGAGATGGACTACCTTTTAAATTAAATAGAAGACAATTTCCAATAAAACTGGCATTTGCAATGACTATAAATAAGTCTTAAGGACAAACTTTGAACAAAGTTGGGATTTCTTTAGCTGAGTCCATGTTTGGTCATGGGCAACTATATGTTGCCTTCTCTAGAATAAGGAAAAGAAAGATGTAAAAGTTCAAATCCTTAAAACACCTTTACAAGGGGACTTAATGGGAATGGTAGAGTATTTACTCGAAACATCATGTTTCGAGAAATACTTTAATCATGATTTTAAAAACAAACTTTTTGGGTCTTTGAAAAACCACCAGTGCTTGCAAAGTACCGCAAGACCAGTGGGGTAAAATGTAGACAGATCTTCATGCGATTTACCCTGGGCAGTTCACTTTCAACAGTGTTCTGCCGAATGTCTCTGCACTTTAAGTAAACCATTTGTAATTAATTATTTATCATCGCTATGCATGCTAACTGTTTAGTATGCTCCAATGCCTGCATCGGGCCTTTCAACTGGTTTTCCATATTTTTAGAATTCAACTTAGAAAAACTGTTATGAAAATAATTAAAAATTAAATTCAAATGAAATTTTAGGACTCTGCAAAACCATTTTTCTACAGAAATTTGTTCTTCCATTTTAAAAACTTTTTGTTTCTTTTTGTAATAGATTACTAAAATAACTACTTGCAAAATAACTAAAGTAATAAAAATTATATTTTGTTACTAAATGTGTTTAAATATAGTTACCTGTCCAGAACCTTTATTGTCGATTTTTCATATTTTTCTAAAAGCTGAGGGAGTTGTGTATCATCATCACAAACTGAACCCCATCCTAATACTCTAGCTAAATCATTTCCAGTTCCCAATGGCAGCACTCCTACTTGACACTAATACAATACATCATAGCATAAAAATAAAATTATTTTTTAAGTTCAAGTTTATTATATGAGGGATGTTCAGGTCAATCTGGGACTTATGAATGTATAAAATAAAATGACAAAGTTCAAGGGGTGTAAACTGCATTTACTTTTCGACATAATCCCCTGCTACATTTTTACACTTGTACCATTGTTTTACTAATGCTGGTAAAGCTTCTGTGTAGAAAGATTTGTCAGTATGTTTAAACTATTGTGGGACAGCTTTCTTCACTTTGTTATCGATACTGAAATGTTGACTTGCAAGGAAGTCTTTCAGGGGTCTAAATAGGTGGAAGTTACTGACCTTCCATAATGATCCTTCAGTTCAGTACAACATTCAACTCTTCTGTGCTGGTCAAAAACAGAAAGCTGTTTTGGTACTCAGCATGCACTCACTTTTTAGAATAGCAAAGTGTCATAAATTATTGTGTTTACCATTCCCAATGAAGGATTACACCTATTCACTATTTCACAATATGTTATACAACGATTTTCAAAGGATAGCCTTTTCCACCCACCGAATGTTCACAGGAATGACAATGTGGGCTGAGAACCACCACGACCAGGATTATCAGTGACAGATTCACAGCCATCTTTGAAGCACTTACATCACTCAAATGTCTTGCTGCAGCTGTGAGTACTTTCAACATATTGTGCTTGAAGTCTTCTGTAAATTTCAGTTGGTTTTACATCCTTCTTCATTAAAAATTTCATCACCACACACTGTTATCCGCCATCTCGAATAGCAGTTTCTAGAATGAAACGCAAAATAGAGCAGTGCCTGTTTATAAGAGATCACATTTGCCAGGTCATACTGAATGCCCTACCTACACTCTAGAAGTCATATATAAACCTGTAAAAGCAAAAGTACCAGATTGACCTGAACATCCCTCATATTACGTCTTTATGAAAACTATCATTTAAAAAATTATATAGAAGTGCTCTTAACATTGATTTATCTGATTTATTAAAACTAAATCATAATAGTTAAGATGAAACTTGAAGGAAATTGATTTATAAAAAACAAATATGAACAAATTTTTATATAATAATTCAAATTTAGGAGTAATTCTTCTCAATTCCATATTCAATTTATAGGAACTTTTATGGTTTTACGTTATAAAAAAAAACAAATTTGTATATAATAATTCGAATTAAGTATTAATTCCTCTTAATTTTCCGCATTATAATCGATTTTTTTGATAATTTTTCTTCTAAATCATATAAATTTATATATCTAGAAAATCAGATTCAGCTTATTTCTTCTTAAATTTGTAATCTGTGTTTGATATTCTATTTTTTTTTAAATATTTTTTTAAAAATAAAAATTATTAAACAAACAAAAATAATATATTTCTTCTAAATTTTTGAAAATGTTAATATTCAAAAAAATAATAATAAATAAATAACTGTAAATGCTAACAACAAGTAAAATCTTTATTAATTTCACAAGATATGACACGTGACCTCCCTCTACCTACCCATCTCTTGACCTTTAACTCTCAGAATTTAATATTTTAGTCATTACAACATCCTGAAATATTAGGAGTTTCGAGTTTCAACCTTGAGAGCGCTAAGGTGTTTTATCGATTGATTACACCTGAATGAAACACCTTTCATCATTTGAACCATAGAATAAATTATGGTTACACATGAAAGATTTCCATTGGAGAGCTAAGTTTTGCAGAGCCAGAAAGTGATTTCATTTCCATATAATGGCTTATTTAAACAGCTAAATGGAATACTTAGTGATGTGAAATAACTGCCAACAATATGTTCTTAGAATATTTTATAATATTCTAAGATCATATTGTTCTAAGATAAGTTGTATATAATATTCCACTCTGTTTTATATAATATCGGCTCCGACTTTACCAATATTATATACAACAGAGTGCTCTTCCAGCGTGTAATTTCATCTTTTCGGGTTCGGTTAAATTAAACTTCAATAGCAGAGTGCAGTATAAATATATATATCCCTGTATTATATCAGAATGTAGAAAAACCAAAACAATGGCCATTTTGTATGTACTGTATCCGTCAGTGGTTGTTGTTCAAAGGTTAGACTGTATAACAAATTGAAATTACTGTATTTATTAAAGCCTTTCACATTTTCAACATCATTTCTAATTAATTAATGTTTGCATTTTAATCTTGTATTTGAAACGAACATCTGTCTATTATTTTTTCTGATTAAAGCAGACATAATTATCTAATTTTTATACTTTTATCTACAGTAACAAATGTCTTTTCTCTAATTCAAACTAATTACATAACTCTGATAAATAATTTATTTTTAATTTTAATAAAACAGACAGCCGTATAAGAAGTTTATGGATCAGTCTTCACGCTGGGTTTTGCACCCTTTGTGAATTACACCCTTTGTGAATTTAAGCTGCTAAGATGCCGCACTGGGAAACCCAGGATTGAATTTGGACAGGTCGAAAATCCCAATAATTTTTCAAGGAAAGGTCTGTTCAGATATGACGTTCCCTTCCTTCATCATCCACTTGGCCCATTGTGGGCCTGGCCGAACCCATGTTGTGCTTGCTAAAAGGCCCTCTTAATGCGCAAAGTGCGAAAAGATTAAAAAAATAACTGATTGCTGATTTATCCACTCCACCATATTGGGTCTAGATCTAATGTGAGACATCGTTTGCTCTAAAACTTTATAGATTTTCAAAATATTTCATTAAAATTCNTAAAATTTTAAAGATATTTACTTTAACATTTTGTCTAAGAAATTTGAAAAATATATCAGGAATGAACAGCATAATTAACAAAAAAACCAAAAGAAAAATTACATGAACATATTAGTTATACCATATACTTTTTAAGTCCATTTAAATGCTTGAATATTTATTTATGTGATAAATCAATTTAGCATCAAGCAATAAATTTAAGATATTTGTTATATATTGTAGATATTTGAACATTACATAAGTAGAAAATAATGGAAAAATGTTTTTCATCGTATAAAACAATATATTAGAAATATTAATAATAATCAAAAATATATTAAAAATGCTTCAATGTTTATAATTACTTGATTATGTAGATTAAGATTATCTATTTCAGTGAGAACCCAACTAACACTTCCGTCACCACCACATACTAAAATACGAAAAGGATTAAATGCCCTGAACATTCGAAGTCTGAAAAATAAATAAATAAATAATCATATTTATCTGGATTCTTTAAATTACTAAAATAAAGTTTGAAACTATGCAAAATTCTGAATTAATACACAGTAATTTAAATATCATGTTTCATTTCATGTAAAAACAAATTAGAGTGAATAATAAAATTGTAAACTTGAATTTCATTTAATGAATATTGTTAATAATTATAACCAAAGGCAAAGTATACAATGTCTATCATCATATCTGAAATTCTAAAGAAAAACCTAAAATAATTTTTTACCTTTATCACAGTACATACAGTTGTTATAGAATTTGATCATAAATTATAGTCTACATTTACAAAAAAGTTTATATATTTTTTATTTAATTCATTAAGGGGTTGTCCATAAATTATGTCTGCATTTTTCTTAAAATTTTCATGAGTAAAATGTTATTTGCTATAAAAATTATTACATTTTTACTGTTTTTAAAAACAGCTTAAACGTAAAATGTTATTGTTTCTATTTATTCTTTTAGTTGATTGAACTTGATAATGTTGTAATAATATTGTATATTAATATTGATTATGGAATAATATTGATCTGAAAATATTTTCATATAATGATTTGATTTATACAAAGAACGCTATTGCATATGCACTTTATGGAAGTTTTAAACAATTGGCAGAAGGATTTAGCAAAACAATTCTTTTATCAGTGAATAATCTACAAAATCTGGTTTATAATTTTGAATTTATTAAATAGAAATTATCATTTTTATTACAATATCTAATGTTATTTATCCTGTTAATTTTTTTAATTGACTGATTTCTACTTAATTATATATGACAATTTCCTTCAATTTTCATGTTAGCAATGATAAACATATGTTAATAGAATTAAAATAAAAAATAGGTACTGAGATTTTATTTAGAATTAATGACTATTGTTCCAGTTTTGAGAGTTTGTATAATAAAAAATTATATATATATATATATGTGTGTTAGTCAACAAACAATNACAATAAATCTTAGTTTATAAACATATCCATTCAAAAAAATCAAGATACAAGATAAAATATAAAAATACATTTTGATTTCAAATGGAATTACAATTCTTATCCTTTAATAACATAATTGAATGCTGTAACAAATATTAAGGTATCACAACACATTTACTTTGCCTTCTAACTTTTTCTATGTCTTAGTTCTTTCCTTTAATAAATAGTTATTTATATACTAAGATTTAAAAATTAGGTGTTATTTGTTCATTAACAATTGTTGTAATTTAGTTAGTGGCCTACATATATAAAAAATTATTCATAAATTTTATTTATGATAAGGATCTGAAATTCTACCTAAATGACATTAAATTCTATTTAAAATACAATTTTATTTTTAATTTAAAAGTTTTGATTACATTTAAATATCTAATATAGTTTTAAAGCATTCTTAAAAATATATTTCATTTGTATTCTTTTATGTATTAAAAATATCTTGATCTTTTATTAAGAAAAGACACATTTTCCATTAATACATTAAGTGGACAAATAGTTAATAGTTTTATCTTCATCAATCAATACATATGCATATTTAACTAAACCTAAAATAAAATAAAATAACCAAAAAACATGATGACTGCAAAAAGCATTTGTGATGATACATAGTATACAAATACTAAAAATAGAGGAAACAACATACAGCAATACAATATTCATAAATAAAAATTTTAATACATAATTTCAACTATACCCTAAGCCTGGTCCACCATTCATGAGATCAAACACTTGGGCTGGATTGAGCAACTGTTTAAAGCGACGCAAAAATTTCACACCTTGATTATCACCTGATTTAGAATTTACAAAAACTAATAATGGACTGCAACCCATTGGTCTTAAGGCTTCCCAAGCTTCATCATTTCCTATGCTGTGCAATGCAGAAGGCGGCACAATAGATACACGGCAAACTCCCAAAGGACATCGCACCGAAAAATGAGGCTTGCAAGATGTATGAACCTTTAAAAAAATCATAAGATTGGTCTATTATATAATTTATAAAAATAATTTATGAATTTTGAAAAAAATTATGTTATAATTCAAAATCTTTACAAATCAGTCTTTTTTATTTACTGATTTATTAGTATATAATCAAATGTACATCAATTTTATATTAAAAATAAGAAAATAAAGATTTGTTTTTAATACTTTAAATTTTCAATTACAAATTTAAAAAAGTAATATCTAATGTTCATCAGGAAGAAATTTCTGGATTATTTAAAAATTTGATTTTAATTACATTTTGAGATATTTATCTGACGAAGCCAAGTAATAAAAATGACAATAAACATTTTTGTGTGTTTAAATTGATTTTCATAATTTCATAACATTGGACTTTTTTAAAATTTGTAATGGATTTAAAAGCATGTAGCATTTAACAAATTTTCAATTATTATTTTGTTCTAAGTATTACTATCTAAAAGTTTTCACTTTAAATCTCATTATAGAAGTAATGAAAACTACAGTAGACCCCCCTATAACACAAGTTCAAATAATGCGGATTCATATATCGCAGCAAAAAAATTGTGATTGTATTCATATAAGGACGCTAAAAGACTTGTAAAATGTGGTAAAACATCATCGCAATAGTGGACGAGCAGCCAAACTACTTTCTGCCATTCAGCGCCACGCTACAAAGATTTTAGGCGGGCAAGTTGAGTTTACTATCGTCTGTAGAGTATTACATTTAAATTATATATAAATTAGGTACTGTATATAAAATTATATATTAATTATATATAAATTAGGTTTATATATATAAATACAGGTTTATATATATAAATTATATATATTTGTAAGTCTAATACAGTACTGTAATTTTATANATAAATTAGGTACTGTATATATAATTATATATTAACTTAATTTATTGTAACTTTATTATAATTAAATATATATTTTTCGCCGTCTAGCGTCACGCTACGGCGAGTTAGGCGACCTATCGTCTGTTTAGTACTGTAATTTTATACATTTCTTGTGAAAGAAACATTTCTTATTTAACGGCCATAAAAATTATTTATATTAATGATGTCTCCAAAGGTCAACGAAGTTTTCGCAGAAAAATAATATCAGAAATCGCGGCCGCAATTTGATGCGCTGTTCCGCGACGAAACCAAGCTTTAGCAACGAGCGTAGTCAAAGGGTACACACTCGGTAAGTAATCCTACAATTTTTTGTTTATAGCATAGTTTATACAGATTATTCCCAAAAAATTATATGTAATTTGGAAATGTTGAGTCAAATTAGTCTAGAATCGATTAATTTTATGGAAGAAAACCTTTCAAACATTCGTAGTCCGTAAACTGCACACATGACGGGCTGTGATTGGCTCACGTATTTAAGGATGCCTACAACGCGAAATTCTTATAAAGCGGAACGTATCTACCGCATTATAGGGGGGGTCGACTGTACTCTGTTTAGTATTAATTTTAGTAATAATTATTTTTTAGCTGTAATAACAGCTAAAAAATAATTATTTGAAGACTGTACTTTGCAATCATTCATAATTATATTATTATAATTATGAATATATAGTGCAAACATCATTTGTGACATGCAATATTTTTCAATCATAGACTGTCCTTTTCCACTGGAGAGAACCAGTTTAACAATTGACAAGAAAGAAACTGGGTGGAAGAGTAGAAAATTTTGAAGGCAAAGATTCACTTTTGGATGTGACTTGAACAAAGAAGCAACTGATTCCAGGAAATAGAGAATGGACCCAAATATCCCTATTGAGAAGGAAAATTACGATCCAAAGTGTTAGATAGAGAAAAGAATATTGCATTTTTTTGTTTCCTCAAAAAATCTAGATGATATACATTTCCTTAATTAAGGAAATTGGCAGACACCTAGACAAAAGAGTTCTCACTGCTTTTTATGACAAATGTGTGATTTGAAGATGTTGAATAAACAAGACTTATCTCAGTTTTTGGGATGAACACTGATAGTGAGTAACATTCTGTTATGTGGTATACCAAATTCTCCTATCCAGAAATCAGTGACCAGTGTTCACTTGGACTATACCTTAACAGTGGTACACCCAGGAAATGGGCCAAGGGGCCTGGCACCTCCCAAAGTAAAAAGAAAAGAAACACTAGTAAAATTTTCCAAAAATATTTTTCTAATTAAAATTCATTTTTTAATTTGTATTGTGTCATGTGTTCTATTTCTATAATATTTATGAATTAACAGTCACATAAGGTGGGGATTTTATTGAATTCACATCAAAAATCTTTTTACCCATTCAACTCAGTTCCTCAAATTTAAATCTTGAGTGCACCACTGTACCTTAAAATATCACTTCCAGAGTTGATATCCCCTTTGGTACTTGTGTGGCGGTATGCCATGTCTTTGTAAATAGGGGTAGACATAAGTTTTATTTCTCCTAAATTCCTTTGTCTTTAACGTCTGTTTCTAGAACTTTCTAATCTATTCTTTTTCTATGGGTGGGGGACAATCTTTGTCCAAGGACAAAGGGAGAAGACAAAGGGGACATTAAGAAGCCCTGAGGCCATCAGTAAAAACAAACAAGACACTTTTGGGTCAGCGTCCGAGGTGTACAGATGTAAGAAAGAGCAAGCTAAAGGTTTGTCGCCTAGTGGGACAAAAAGGAGAAGGCTTGGAAGTTGTCTGCGAACGGTTGAAAATTAGAAGGACACCCAGATTAAGACTTCAAAAACTCTCTTGAGAATTCAAGAGCATTTTTGAAGTCTTAATCTGGGTGTCCTTCTAATTTTCGACCGTTCGCAGACAACTTCCAAGCCTTCTCCTTTTTGTCCCACTAGGCGACAAACCTTTAGCTTGCTCTTTCTTTGACGAGAAGAAGGAAATTGACTCAAGTACCGATATAGAGAAGATCGGAGACTGCCAAATTTACCCGGGTACCCCCACAAATCTGTCTCTTCTCTTCATATCTCTTATACTTGTCTCTTCTCTTCATATCTCTTATACTTGTCTCTTCTCTTCATATCTCTTAATTTCTTCCCCCTTCTTCCTTAGCATATAAGTTAGATTAAGGTAGATTTAAGTTAGTTGTAGTATCTCTCAAACCATAATTTTGCATTGTCGCGAGCACGTGTCTCCTGCCTGTGAAAGCATATAGAATTTGTCAGACGACTTCGAACTTGTGTGCGTACTATAGTTTGGGATCAAGTGTGTTTAGTGTAAACGAACCAGGTGTACGAAAAATCACGTAACTGTAGTTAAATAAAATCCTGTTTAATTTATAGTTACTTCTTTGTCATCCTTTTATTTGTCCTCCACACCACCACACTTGATTTATATTTTCTTATTATTTTATTGATTTATCATTATAAAGATCTTTTTGTTGGAACTATTTATCCAAAAGTATTAAAGTTAATATTGAAACTTATACTCATTAATTATCACTCACTATATCCAATGTTAGTGATATGGGATAAATCATTAAAAAAAATGTAGCATGTTTATAAAAAGCAAATGCACATAATCCCTTTGTGCTCATTATAACCAAATTCAACTATCTGTATTTGTACATATATGTATCTTCATGGTAAGCAATAGTTGCAGATTAAGTCTGCTCCAGTTCAGTCTTTTCTTTCAGAATATTCCAAATTATTGCCATAATTTCCTAAAAATAATCTATAAGTTATACGTGTTTAAAAATCAATCTGAAAGCAGATACAGGTTATAGGCAACTGAGGGTTATCTGTTGATTTTAAATTTCAACTACAAACTTACCCAATAACTTTTTTACACTTACCAAGAGCATCTTTAAAGGATATTAAAAAACTCTTTTACATACCACATACATTCGTCTACCATTGCATTTTTCCAAAATCAATCAAATATATATGTACAGGACTAAAGCTGAGAGATACAGTTTCTCTCAGCTCTAGTCCTGTCCCACTCTCTGTACATCAATCACATTTTAATTGATATTATTAACTCCTTTGAGACTTTCCAATTTTTGGTATTAATGTAATTAAACATAGAAAATATTTAAAACTGAAAAAAAACTAAAGAAATGTGTTAATTTTGAAGAAAAAGCTTCAAACTTTATTTTCCATTGTCTAGCCTTTCTGCGAAATATGACACTGATGAGTCATTGTGTTTACAGCTGGATGACCTTGAGAACATCTGGTGTGGGATTTCCCGGAACATTCTCATAGACGTCTCAGGAGGACAAGGGTTTAAAGTAGGGTNTTAATTTTGAAGAAAAAGCTTCAAAGTTTAACTTCCTTTGTCTCGCCTTTCTGTGAAATTTGACACTGATGAGTCATTGTTTACACAGCTGGATGACCTTGAGAACAGCTGGTGTTGGATTTCCCGGGACATTCTCTCAAAACCTACAGGAGGCAAAGGGTTTATAGTAGGGTGAATACTAGCTGGCTGTATATTTTTAAAAACTTAAAATTTTTATTGCGATTTCCGACCCCCCGATTTAATTAAACTTATATATAATAAAATATATTAATTAAAAAAATTAAAAACTATTGGAAGTCGTTTTGGACATCAGAAACTAACTTTAAATAACTTTACTGAAGTAAAATCCGTGCACTACAACTTTAGAACGATGAATTAAATTTGATTAAAAACTCGCATTAAAAAACAATTAAGCATTAATCGCGCGTCATTAAAGATTGATTAAAATCGCGATAAAATTTTTTCACGCAAATAAAAATTTTTGAAAAAATTTGGAGACCTAAAAAACATCCAAAAATCCAAAAAAAAAATTTTCAGAGGGTCCAAACGCTCGAGTTTTATGTAATGCTATGGAACTTTCCCGAGTTATTTTGGGATAAGTCCTTAACGGGTATCTTCTTGAAAAAACTGATAAATTTTTAGTAATTCCCATTTCCATACAATGACTCAGAGAACTATTTAGAAACCGACTGTCAATTTTAGAATATGTTAATTCCCTGTAGTAAATAAAAGCTAGGCAACTGATTTTCAAATGTGTGTTTCAAATGGATATT